TTATTTTATCCATTTCTTGACGATAAGGATGTTAGAATTGTTGGTGTTGAGGCTGGTGGTGATGGTAAATATTCTCATTTTTTGCAGCTCATTATCAAATGATGTCACAATAACATCACATTATACTTTAGGAATAAATACGGAATTTCATTCAGCGACCTTGAGTATAGGTACACCAGGCGTATTGCATGGGACTAGAACGTACTTACTACAAGATGATAAAGGTCAAATTAAAGCGACACACAGTATTAGTGCTGGACTAGATTATCCAGGTGTTGGTCCGGAGCATTCTTGGTTAAAAGATGTTGGTCGAGCTGAATATTGTGCTGTTACGGATAAGGAAGCCTTAATTGGCTTTAGAAAAATATCAGAATTAGAAGGCATCATTCCAGGTAGGTTGATTTTAGTTATATTATCACTAATTATAACTCTATCTAATTATAGTTGATTTTATAGCACTTGAAACAAGCCATGCAATTTACCAAGCGATTGTGCTTGCTCAAAAAATGCCTAAGGATAAAGATATCCTGATATGTGTTAGTGGCCGAGGTGACAAGGATGTTTCAACGGTGGCCGAATATTTACCCAAATATGGTCCCCAAATAGGATGGGATTTGCGTTTTTAAAAAAATTTTTAACTTATAATATTATTAGTTCTAATGTTTTTGTGAAAAATTTAATATGTTCCCTTATAGTAATAATAATTTAATAGATTAATAAGTGTCAATAAATAAATTATAAATAAAAATTTGACCGTTCTTGTTTATATTTAACGAAGTCTCGAGAAAAATTGAATTTGTCATTTCTAATATACTTTTATTGATTATTTAATTTAACCTAATTACATATTTTGTTTTTAGACTAAGTAAAACTCTCAGTGTACATAATGTACTTTGATTTCGAATATATATTAAAAACTAATCATTTTTTCGTTCAGGACGGAGACTTCGTACAGTCCTACCAGCTCTCCACATTTCACTTTCCCTAAAAAAATTAGGAAAATATACGAACATGAGAAATGATAATCGAAAAAGTATTAGTATGTCATTGAACTATTTGAAGGTACCTAATTTCTTTCAATTCCTTCTCTAAATCTTCTTTATATGTAGGTGAAGAGTTTTTATCCAATGTGCGACGTGTCTCTGTTCCATCTGCGACTGAATCATACAATTTTTCAAAGACAGGTTTGGTAACATCGTAAAACGGTTTATACCAGTCAAGGGCTCCTCTTTGCGCCGTCGTCGAACATGCAGCATACATCCTTTAATTTATATTATGCAACGTTGACTAAAGATCGTATGAGCTAATTCGGAAATACAGAAAACAAATTAAACCTTTACCAATCCATGCCATTTTGCCCAACTAATGGATATAAAGACTGTGTTGCCTCTTCGACAGTTTCATTAAACGCTTCAGAAGGGGAATGTCCGTGTGCTCGCAATACTTCATATTGAGCAAGGAATAAACCTTGGATCGCGCCCATAAGCACTCCCCGTTCCCCTACAAGGTCTGAATAAACTTCATTTTGAAAAGTGGTCTCATAGAGGTAGCCAGATCCGATGGCAACACCAAGAGCTACTGCTTTGTCCTTAGCTTTTCCAGATACGTCCTGAAATAT